CTGATGCGGGGTTTCTTGCTGAAACCATGTCCCCCCACCCCACGTCACCCGTGCTAGAACATAGAGCGTGAAGGTCACTCTGGGAACCCCTTGGGCAGGAGCCGTGTTGGAGCAGCCACGTTCCTCAGAGAGCAGAGGATGAGGAGTCCGAGGGTCCTAGTGGCCCTCATTCATAACGTCACCCTCTGTAAGGCAGGGGCTGGGACGTGCTACTCAAACCGTCCCGGGCCCTTCTGTGGCCTGGGAGGGCCCGCACCCCTTCCCCTGAATAGGTCCCAGCAAACCCTTTGGGGTCTGGGCCAGGGGACAAAGGCCACCCCCTGCCCCGGAGCTGGATGCCTCCCTGTTCCCAGGAGCCGTGGCCCGGACCTGATTGTGACAGGAAATGATCCTGTCACAGGGACACAGGGGCCCTGGATCTTTAACCCCAACCTGCAGCTTCGCGCTCGCAGCGGGCAGTCGGTGGCCACACCCTGCGACGGTGTCGCTCCTGTCCTTTTGTTCTAGAAAATTCCATCGGGTGACAAGGGCACGTTTCTGTGGTTGTCTGTGGAGCTGAGCTGTCCTGGGGTCCCCAGGGAGGAGGGGGCCACCCAGCAGGGGACAGTCGCTGTTTTACTGTCTGATACCAACTTTGGAGCCTCCTCTCCCTGCCCCACTGGACGGCGCCCTGGCCACCTGCCTGCTGGGCCCTGGAGGCCGGGCGTGAGGGCCGCCTTCCATTGTTGGTGGAACTCACTGCAGTGATTGATGTGAGCTGGAGCCCAGACCCGGAACATTCCCTCCAGGTCGCGTTTCTTTGTTCTGATACTAAAGGCTGCACTTGGAACAGAGACGGACAGACAGACACCTTCCAGCACCCAGTTCCCTGCGTGTCCCCGTCTCAGAGTCTCAGCCCAGAGGCCACCCCAGCCCCCTGGACAGACCTTAGGATGGTTTTGACTTTAGGATTAGAAGAGGCTCAGTTAGCGTGTGCCTGGAGTCCCAGGGGCTCAGGAGGCCGAGGCAGGAGGATCGCAAGGTGGAGGCCAGCCTCAGCCACTTAGCAAGGCCCTGAGCCACTCAGCGAGACCCTGTCTCTAAATAAGATAGAAAAAGGGCTGGGGACGGGGCTCAGGGGTCGAGGACCCTGGGTTCAATCCCTGGGACCAAACAGAAGAACAGAGAGGAGACCCCTCCCCAGAGACGGGGGTCCAGAGCTGGTCCCCTGGAGGGGCTGTCCTGCCCCTCTGTAGATCTGGGGGTCCTCCTTCTCCTGCCCGCTGCTGCCATCCTGCCTAGTGACCAGAGGGTGCAGTGATCGGGGTCCAGGCAGGAGGGAGGCCCGGGGGACGTCATTAACAGCAGCTCCCGGGCGGGTGACCTTGGCAACAGGTTAGAGGAGGGGACGTGCCCTGGAGGGATCGGCGTTCTGCTCCCCTGAGCCAACCCCCGTCTTCCCGACCTCCACTGACGGTCCTCCTGCCCCGGCCTCCCCAGCACCGAGACCACGGCCAGAGGCTGCAGGGGGCCTTGCTGACGTCACTGGGAGCTGGTGGCCCAGCGGGAGGCCTGTCGAGGGTCCTGCGCTGAGTGGGGACCTGGGTGCGGGGGCCTCTCTGTTCCTGGGAGGCCCAGACCCCCGTGGCTTCCTGGCCAAGCCTGTGGGGGCCCAGGTGGGGTCCTGCCGTGTCCCCGCTGCCCCAGAGGCCCCTCTGGGCCCAGCCCTGGGGACACAGTGCTCTCTGGTCACCCCCACAGATTCCTTACCCCCCAAAAAGCCCAGGGTCGTTAAGACAGTGGAGGCCCCTGTGAGGAGGCCGCGGAGCCACGTCGCATGGTTCAGTTTGGAGTTTTATGGGGGACAAATCACAGAGGGTGGCTGGGGGGGACGCAGAGCTCCCTGGCAGCTCCTGTCACTTTTACGGCCTCCTATTGTTGCAGCGGCTGGGAGGTTGGCGGCCAGGGTTTGTTTGTGACGTTGCCATGGAGGGGCCCTCCCCGGGACACTGCCAGGTCCCCTCCCTCCCTCCCTCCCAGGGGGTACCATGTGGCAGCCACCCGGCTGGGGATCATGGGGGCTGGCGCCGGAGACCCCAGACACCAGCTCCCCACAGGGCCCTGTGGGGTCTAAGAGGGGCCACCTGGGGTGTGGGCCTCGCGGCCAGGTCACCCGGGCTGTCTGGGGCCCCCGAGGGGCCGGGTACAGGGCCCAGGAGAGGCCGCAGTAGCTGCAGGTCTGTGGGCAGTACCCGCCCCACTGTGACAGGCCCCTGCCCAAAACAGGACGTTCAAGTCCTCCCCGAGTCCCTGGGGGTGGGGCCTCTTATTCAGAGACAGGGTCTCGCTGAGTGGCTCAGGGCCTGGCTCAGTGGCTGAGGCTGGCCTCCACCTTGCGATCCTCCTGCCTCAGCCTCCTATGCGGCTGGGATGACCAGTGCGTGCCACCGTGCCCAGCATGGTGACATTTTTACGGCAGACAGACAGAACTCCATGCAGCAGATCTTAGAAGGGGGGGTGTCATGTTTTGGCATCTACATGAGGAGCTCTGAGAACGGGTCCCCTGGCGCCCTCCCAGGGGACAATTGGCCCTTTGTCTGGGGCCTGGTGGAATTTTGTGCAGGACAAGCCCTCGTTCCACTCTGGCCACATGACGCCTGTCTCGGGGGCGCGGGGAGGGGCCAGGTGGGAGGGGGGCTGCTGGCCCGGTGCCCGGGGACAGCTGAGCCGGGAGGGGCAGCGGCGGGGACTCGGGAGGCCTCAGTCTCCAGAGACCCCGCCTGGGAGGGACTGGCCCCTGGGCCTCAGGTGACACGCGTGGAGACAAAAGGCCACCCCAGTCCAGCAGCCGACAGACCCTCAGCGCCAGGTCGGGGTGGGCAGCGGCCTGTTTGGCTCCGCAGAGAGCCATCGGGGAGACCCAGTGAGACCACAGGTGCCACGCACACGGCTCCCACCCAGTGTCACCTTGCTGTGAGCAGGGAGCAGTAGAGAGAGCCATGGCCACTTTTGGACGGGGGAGGAGGGTCCCAGGGATGGAACCAGGGGCACCTGAGCCCTGAGCCCCGTCCCCAGCCCTTTTTACATTTTATTTAGAGACAGGGTCTCCCTGAGTGGTTCAGGGCCTTGCTATAAGTGGCTGAGGCTGGCCTCCACCTTGCGATCCTCCTGCCTCAGCCTCCCAAGATGCTGGGATGACAGGCGTGCGTCACCACATCAGCATGTGACATTTTTCATAGCAAAAACCAGCAAACTTCATACATATCAGTAAGGACATGGGTAAAAGACAGGTGGAGTCTTCATAGAAAACAATACTATACGGAAGTCAAAAATACGTACACACATGTGAACAGATGTCAGAGAGAGGAGAATTAAGCAATAACGTGATACCACTGTATACACGATGGAGTACATATGCTATTCAAGGACACGCCATGGGTATACTGTGTATGAGGATGAAGGGGACATAAGGAATTCATAGGTGTCACAAGCCTGTCATTCCAGCAGCTTGGGAGGCTGAGGCAGGAGGATCGCAAGGTGGAGGCCAGCCTCAGCCACTTAGCCAGGCCCTCAGCCGCTCAGGGAGACCCTGTCTCTAAATAAAATAGAAAAAGGGCTGGGGACGGGGCTCAGGGGTGGAGGGGCCCTGGGTTCAATCCCTGGTACCCCCCCCAAAAAAATGAACCCCTGAAGGTAATTACTCCAGAGGAGTCAAAGGAAGGAAATAGAGTTATGGGTCTTCAACTCAATGTCAAGGCTTCAGTTGCCAAGGAGAAAGTGTCAGGGACAGACTCTGAGCAGTCACCCCAGGTGCTGGGGTCGGGGCTGGTCACAGTGTCATTGAACCTCTGGAAATGACTCAAAGTCCTCCCAAATCCGTGTCTGTGTGTGTGGGGGGTTCACCCCCGTCTGACTGCAGCCCCAGGGGGACCTGCCAGGGAACCTGGGCTCTGGCCCAGCGGGGGGGCTCCCCGGCAGCCCCCAGGACCCCCCATCCCCAAGCGGCCTCCTTGGAGGCCCAGAGCCCGGGTCTGCATTTTTGTGCAAGATGCGATTAGATGCACCAGGGTCTTATCTGTAGGCCCAGCTCCAAGGAGGGGGACCGGGAGGTTAAATTGAAACCCTATTAAGGGAGATGGGCCAGGGCTGATGAGCCGGGCCAGACGGGCTCTCAGAGCTCATTTCTCCCCGCCTCCAGCCTGGGCCTCCCGGAGTCCAGTCACTGATCCCCATCAGCTCGTTAGTGTCTTTTCCCCTCCCATTTCCATTCTATTAAGTAATGAGGAACCTGCCAGGCCCTGGCCCTCGCCTTTGGCCCAGCCAGGGGCTTCCAGGCTGATTAATGGAATGAAAAATAGATCATAGAGGCCCAATCTCATTACGGCCTTATCGCCAGCATCTGGAGGCTGCGACACACCAGGCCTCTTCACCCGGGCGTCTGCTGAGCCCAGAGGGTGCCCAGCACGGCTGACCCTGTGCAGAGTGCGGTGATGCTTGTTGGACGGTCCCTTGGTCACAGAAAGAAGGCTCCTGGAGAACTTGGGCCTCCCAAGCGGCTCCGGAGGCTGAGGCAGGAGGATCGCAAGTGGGAGGCCAGCCTCAGCCACTTAGCGAGGCCCTGAGGAGGTGTGACCAGCCTCTGCAGAGAGCCACCAGTAACCACCAGTGGCCTCTAGGAAGAGTAGACCGTGCCCACCACAAGTGGGTCCCCTCCCAGGGTCTACATCGGAGAAACTGCTGTGTGCAAAGTGACATGGACACTTTGTCATGGTGACTTTTTGGGGGGTGCCAGGGATGGAACCCAGGGGTGCTTCACCCCTGAGCCCTGTCCCCAGCCCTTTTTAGATTTTATTTAGAGACAGGGTCTCGCTGAGTTGCTGAGGGCCTCGCTAAGTTGTCGAGGCTGGCCTCCACCTTGCAATCCTCCTGCCTCGGCCTCCTCTGGGATCATGGATGTCGGGACGGGGCCCCCCCACGCAGCCCTCCTGGTCTCACGCCCCTCTCGCCCCTGCCCCCGCCAGGTGGTGAAGAAGGTCAAGTCCATGCAGATGTTCCACACGCCCGTCACCTCGGCCATGCAGGGGGACCGCCTGGGCATCTGTGTCACCCAGTTCGACCCCAAGCTGCTGGAGCGCGGGCTGGTGTGCGCCCCCGAGTCGCTGCCCACCCTGCACGCGGCCATCATCTCCGTGGAGAAGATCCCCTACTTCCGGGGCCCGCTGCTGACCAAGGCCAAGTTCCACATCACGCTGGGCCACGAGACGGTCATGGGCCGCCTGCTCTTCTTCAGCCCCGAGCCTCAGCACTTCGACCGGGAGCCCCAGGCGGCCTCCTTCGACCTGGCCCAGGAGTACCTCTTCCAGGAGCGCTACCTGAGCAGGGACCCGGCCACCGAGGGCGACCAGGCCGACGACAGGGCCGGCCAGGCCCCCGAGGGCCGCTGTCCACGGCAGCAGTGGGCCCTGGTGGAGTTTGAGAGGCCGGTCACCTGCCCTCGCCTGTGCCTGGTCATCGGCTCCCGGCTGGACGCGGACATCCACGCCAACTCGTGTCGCCTGGCCTTCCACGGTCGCCTGCTGCACGGGCTCCAGGACAAGGGCTACGCGGAGAGCGCGCTGCCCGCCCTCAGGGTCTACAAGCTCAAGCACAAGCAGGGCCTCGTGGAGCGGGTGAGCGCGGCCTCCAATCTGGGCCTCCTCGGGGAGGGCAGCCAGGTCCATGGGGCCCTGACGGTGTCCGCGGCCAGGGAGGGAGCCTAGGGGCGCTGACCACAGGGCCACCTCCCAGCCCCTGAATGTTTGATTTAGAGTCAGGGTCTGCTCTGTGGCTGAGGCTGGCCTCCACCTTGCCGTCCTCCTGCCTCAGCCTCCCCAGCCACTGGGATGACAGGCGTGCACCACCGGCCTCTGTTTTCCATAGGATTGTCAGGAGCGGGCAAAGAGGGGGACAGAGAGGGGCAGCAGGTGGCCTGCCATGCTGGGCTGCACGCCCACCCTCCCCCTGCCCACTTGGTCCCTTGGCTCTGTCCCCCCTGGCTGTGGTGGCACTGGCTGGGAGGCTGGCCCAGGGGGTGGCGGGCACCAGGGGGTGTGGCAGGAGACGGAGCTGGGGACAGGGCCCGCGCGGCTGAGCCGTGGCCAGGGCTCTGGGAACACGGCCAGAGCGGCTGCCAGGGCCCGGGACAGCCGGGCCACCACAGCTTCCTTTGGAGAAAAATGGGGATGTCCCCCGTGGGGTGGGGTGGGACAGGGACGCCATGTAAGGCCCTGAAGTGTCCCCGCCCAGGAGGGACCTTGATCACCGGTGGGTCGCACAGGACTGTTTTCTAGAACTTTCCTCGAGGCCCAGACACCAGGGCTCCCGGCTGGGAGGGGACAACAGGCTGTCGTCCCCCCCCCCGCCCGGGGTCAGGCCAGGCGCGGCCACCTCTCGCTGGCGCCACGCGGGAGGGCCCCAGGGCTGGGCGGCAGGAGCCCGCGGCGGGGCCCAGCCGAGTGTGGACGCGCCGCCGCCACCAAGAGCCCTGGTGGCTTTGAAGTCCGCTGTCCCCCGCCGCCTGGCTCCCGGCTCTGGCCGCTCGGCGGGTGGTGGCCTGGCCCGGGTGCCCAGGCGCTGGCCCCAGGCAACCTGCCCCTGGCTGCCCCTGGCTGGGCCGGCCTCCAGCCTCCTCCTGAGCCAGCCTCCGGCCTCCTCCTGAGCTGCACCCAGCCCCAGGGGTCGGCCCGTCATGGCCTGTCCTGCTGCCCCTGGCCCTGGGCTCCTGGCCAGCAGCCTGAAGGTTGGTGGCCTCCCAGGTCCCTGGAGCAAGCCGAGGTCCCCCTGAAGCACAAGTCACAGCGGCCTCTCCTTCCCGGGAAGGTCGGGGCCACCGTGGCCCGTCCTGCCGTCCAGCGGGTCACGAGCTGGGGACCTGCCTCCTGTGGAAATGGCTTTGCCCACATGGACCCGGGGTCAGGCCACTGGGCGGGGGGAAGAGCTGGCTCTGGAGAAGATGGCCACTGTCCCCAGAACCGGTTTCTCCTCTAAGACGCGTTGGTGGCCCAACTGGCCCAGCAGGTGCTCGGGAGATGTCACCTCCCCTTCTCCCTGGAAGGCCAGCCGCCTGGCCACTGTCCCTCGGGCTCTTGACCTGCCCCTGATGGGGGATGTGCCTCTGTGGGGCCTGCTGATGGCCACGCGGAGGGCGGAGTGGGGAGCGGAGGCTGGCCGCGGAGGCCCGCTGTGGACAGAGGTCCTACCCACCCTGGGCAGGGGCAGCGGGTGGAATTGAACTCGGGGGCCCCTGAGCCCCGTCCCCAGCCCTATTTTGGATTTAGAGACAGGGTCTTGCTGAGTGGCTCAGGGCCTCACTAAATTGCTGAGGCTGGCCTCCACCTTGCGATCCTCCTGCCTCAGCCTCCCGAGTCACTGGGATGACTTATTGTTCAGAAGAAGATACTGAGGTTCAGAGGGGTGAAGCAGCTCGCCCAGGATCCCAGCAGCTGGACCCAGAAGCCAGCCCCGTGCTAGGGCTGCCCCAGGCCTCTGTTTTCCACCAGGCCTCGGCCCTGCCCTGGGAGGGCCGTAGGTGATACCAAACGTCACCATAGAGCTTCCAGGTGACCTGGAAGAGTCACCGCATTACACAGGCTCATCCTCGACCCCGGCGCCCCCCGCCACCCTGCTCCAGAGGACGACGGGTCCCTGTCCCCCAGGAGACTCTGTGGTGGGTGACAAGTGGTAACTGAGGAGCGAGCCCCAGAACCGTGGGCAGCGCGGGGCACAGGGCACCGAGCACGTGGCCGTCCCCTGCCTGGTTCAGCACCAGGGGACGCTGGGCACCTTGAAGATCTGCCCAGAGGGACCTCGCTCTCCACGTCACCTCTCCTGAGGTCCTGCCCCCGGGGGCCACTCTGTCACCAGGTCTTGGTGTCCCCACCGACCTCCGCAGCCCTGATCCCCTGACGGCCTTTCTCAGAGGAAGAAACCGAGGTCCAGAGAGGACCCTCACCTGGTCCAGGTCCCCAGGCCCTGCCTCTCTGGGCCTCCTGGGGACCGAGCCCCGGGCGCCACCCACGTCACGACATCATCGCGCTCCTGGGGACGCGCCTGGCGTGTGAGCCAGACCCCGAGCACAGCCAGCGACCGCTCCCGGGAGCCCAGCCTCCAGCCTCCAGGGGAAGGGACAGCAGAGCACCCGGGCAGACAGCGGAGGTCCCCATCGGAGCTCTTGTGACTGTGCTGGCCAGAGCCGGTCATTGTTCCCCACGAGCAGCCTGCCCAGGAGCCCCCGCCCGCCCGGTGTCACGTCACAGTGACCGATTCCAACAGGGCAGCCTCCAGCTGGCCACTGCCGCGGGAGCTGGGGGAGGCTGGAATTTGGGGTGATCCCTCGTTGTCTCCGCCTCCTGCTTGCTGTCCCCTGGGTGGCCGTGCTGTCACCAGGTCCTGGTGTTCTGGCCGACCTCAGGCCCTGGTTTGAACGACAACCTTTTTCAGAGGAAGAGACTGAGGTTCAGAGAGGACCTCTTAAGAGCTTCTAAGCCCTGTCTTCTCAGCACCAGGTCCTCCTCCTCCTCCTCCTCCTCCTCCTCCTCCTCCTCCTCATCTTCCTCTTCCTCCTCCTCCTCCTCCTCCTCCTCATCTTCCTCTTCCTCCTCCTCCTCTTCCTCATCTTCCTCTTCCTCCTCCTCCTCCCAGCTCAAGGGAGTCCAAAGACAGAGAAAGCCACTCTGGGCACGACAGGCATCGCTGTGACCTAAGCCACAGAAGAGGTCCCCTCCTCTCAGCCTGAATTAGAACGAAGTATTGCACCAGGCACCGGGACACACACCTGCCATCCCAGCAGCTCAGGAGGCTGAGGCAGGAGGATCACAAGTTGGAGGCCAGCCTCAGCCACTTAGCGAGGCCCTGTCTCAAAACATAAACAGGGCTGGGGACGGGGCTCAGGGGTCAGCATCCCTGGGCTCAATCCCTGGGACAGAAAAAAGAGAACGTGGTGTTGCCACACTCCCTGGCTGTGTGACACCTGCCGAGTCCCCAGACCCCAGGGGGCTTCTCTAAAGATTCAGCAGCCCAGAGGCCACCGGGAGTGGGAATGGAGCCTGTGTTCTGTGCGCTCATGAACATGTCAAAGTGGACCCATGATGTTGTAAACCTGTGGCACACAATAAAGGCACGAGGAAGAAGAAAATAAGAAATTTTTTAAAGGTTGGGGAGCCGGGTGCCATAGGGCACGCCTGTCCTCCCAGCAGCTGGGGAGGCTGAGGCAGGAGGATCGCAAGGTGGAGGCCAGCCTCAGTAACTTAGCAAGGCCCTGAGCCACTCAGTGAGACCCTGTCTCTCAATAAAACCCAGAACAGGTCTGGGGACGGGAGTCAACCTCTGGTCCCCAAGGTGGGGACAGGCTCTGGGGGAGAGCACAGCAGGAAGTCAGGTGGCCCTGGACACCTTGATCGAGCCATACCTGCTGTCCTCAGCTGTTGCCCTGGGCACTGCAGTGTTGGTCCCTGCCCACCGCGTGCTCATGTCAAGGGAGTGACCGTGACAGGGACGCCGTAGCCCCCAGCTGGGGTTTCTGCCCTACTTGGGTGGGTGTCGCGACCTGTAGGTGGGCTCAGCTCCTCAGGGCCGCTGCCTGGGGCCGCCCTGACCCCTCTCTCGGGCGCTGGGGGACAGGCGATGGACGACTACAGCGTGATCGGCCGCTCCCTGTTCAAGAAGGAGACCAACATCCAGCTCTTCGTGGGGCTCCGGGTCCAGCTGTCCACTGGGGAGCAGGGCGTCATCGACAGCGCCTTCGGCCAGAGCGGCAAGTTCAAGGTCCACGTCCCGGGTGAGCGCCCAGGGCACAGGGGGCCACCAGGGGGGCGGGGGGGGGGCTCAGCTTCCCGACCCTGGGGGGGGCAGAGCCGGAGGCTGGGACGCCCTGGAGGGGCCTGGGAGGGGCCAGGGGTCAGGGTGGTCTGAACAAGGTCGAGGTCAGAGGTCAAGTTCCCACTCTACCCGACCTTGGCCAAGTTGGGCGTGGTCTAGACAAGGTCAAGGTTGAGGTCAGAGGTCAAGTTCCCACTTCATCCAACCTTGGCCGCTTCCCTATAGGGGCGTGGCTGAGTGGGGCGTGGTCTGAACAAGTCAAGGTCAAGGTCAAGGTCAGGATCCCACTCCACCCGACCTTGGCCGCTTAACTTTTTCTTATTTATTTGGGACCATGGCGTGCATTCTGACATGTCACACACATACGGGGTGTGACGTCCCACTCCTGTGGCTGGACCTGCTGTGGGGTGTCCCTGGTCTTGTTTTCCTCTGTGAACATGGGAAAGGGACGTCCATCCATTCCCCTGTCTCTCCCGGTCCCCTCCCCTCCCTTCCTGTCTGCCTAATCCAGTGAACTGCTATGCCCCCGCCACCCTTAGGTGCACATCAGAGAGGACATTTGGCTTTGGTTTTGGGGGATTGGGTGATTTCGTGTAGCATGATCGTCTCCAGCTCCATCCGTTCACCTGCAAATGCCATCATTTCAGTCTTCTTTAAGGCTGCGTAATATTCCACTGTGTTTCCTTATCCAGCCACCTGTGAAGGGCACCAGGTTGGCTCCATAGCGCCGCGGGGAGGGCGGAGCCGCGGGGAGGGCGGAGCCGCGGGGAGGGCGGAGCCGCGGGGAGGGCGGAGCCGCG